TGTTCCAGTACTTATATGTCATTCAGTAAAATCGTTATGGTGATCAAAACACTCATGTCATTGTACATTCTATATATTCCTCTCAAATAAATAATAGACCAATGTACTATCAAGAAAATGACTTTAAATTTTCAGTAAACTTTATTACCCTATTTTATTGAGAATCATAGAATCTTATCAAACTTGCACGTAGGCATATTTCATGAAGCACAATCTGGAGTAAATGGAGTTCTTTCTTTAAACTTTTCACTTCATATTTGTCATTCATCTTATTCTAAATCTTACGAAACGCTCATTCTTCTTCATGATATTCTATGTGCACTTTACATGATACATACAGGGATCTAGTTTCACGTACCACTTTATGTTGCAAGTGCTGTTCTGCTTTTTTGTGCGTGGGTAATATTAATTTTGCGTAACCCCTTTGCGTATCTCAAGATTTGTATATTTTGTTGGCACAAAATCTGTTTGGTATCTTTTCCTTAGTTTCTGATACCATTGTAGATTTATCTACATAAATTCCGTCAACATCTGTGCTATTCATATGAAATCCTTCGGCCCAACTCCCAGTATGAATGACCACCATGTTTCTTCAATAATAATGAATGTTTGAAAAAGTGTCATTGACTCGTCTGTTCAACCTTTACACAGGCAGGAACTCGACTGCGTTGACCAAGCAGTCCGCCAAAAGTCGGAATAAATAGCCATTATCTCCCCACATTCCAAGCAATAACCTTCTATGCCTTTATATTCATAAGAAACAATTTAAAAAAAAAAACGTACACCGTAAATAAAAATCACGCCTAAACTTGTTACCTATACATGTAATACATTTTTGTGGCAAAATTAATTTCTTCCTTGTTATTTATGTTTGCGCAGAAGTAGGAAATAAAACTTCCTGTTGTTGAAATATTTAAGGCAAAATTTAAAGCATATTTCTACATAAAATTAATTACATGTAACGTATCAACTTATAAAGATCCATATTTCATTAAATTATTTTTGAGTACAAGAGAAAGATTTAAGACCTTATTGGGAAGAGCCGCTTGTGTCCTGTAATTAGTCCTACTGGTGTCATGTGACCAGGTAGCATGTTTTTAGAAGTCAGTTTGCTTTTACACTTCAATATTGATTTTGAAGTTTTTGTCTGGTTTCTGATTAAAACGCAGCCAATCAAATGCCATGTAAGATTATGTAATATCCAAATTTAGTTTGGCCATCTGTTACATTTAGATAAATGACAGTTTTACATAATTGGAGTTTATCTTTGTCTTTAGGTTTGATGTGTACAGCAAAAACAAGCTGCAAATAGCCAGATTTGTTTTCTATTTCAATGCAGAAAAGATGTGGATATAAACAAGAGTATCACTTCTTTCATAATTTTTTTTAGCTTAACTACTCTTCGAAATTTTATCACTCATGTTGAGAAACCATAATTTGGAGGAGGAAGTCTACAGATTCAGACCAGTAAACGACAATCTGGGCTATTGAGCTGAGGAATGTTTTTCGTGCCAACATCTACTGCAACATGGTACCTCGGTTTAAAGGGACTCATCCAAATGATCGGTCTCCACGCCCCCAAGTGGGATTCGAACCCGCGATGTAAGGATCGACTAAAGATGTAAGGATCAACTAGTTCTTACCTGTAACTCTAGATAAAAATTGCCCTAAACACTGCACCACGCGGGCTCTTTCATAAGTTCAACTAATCAGAACTTCCAAACATTTTTTTCTCTGTTTGTTTCATTTTGAATTTTGTTTCGTTTATAACGAGTGAGAATAAGTTGCTGTTATATTTGGTTATATCTAGCATTTTTGCCAGTGACGTCACGCAGTACATGTATTGCAAGAATGAAATAATATATGCTGTTGTTGTAAAAAGAAAACTGTCGCAGAGACTATGAAAATAAGCATTAATTAATCCTTTAAAGGGATAACAATGTTCCAAAAGTGAAATGTAAACTATATTTGTTTTCTCCAAATCTTATTCTTTCCTTTTTTATTTGTTAAAAGACATTATTTTGCAGTAAGTCAGGTTGAAGAAAACATGTAAGTAATTTGAATGATTATTCAATCAAGCTTGTTTACGATTAAAATTGATAGACGGACTATAATAAAAGACAAGCAATTTCTCCAGATGTCTGGATACTTATAGTTACTTATCATGAAATGTACTTGTAGATAATTTTCAATTAGGAATTGCATAATTGGTGCTTTTATTCGCATTTCCTGAAAATATATTTGAGATTTTGTTTATTTTCCTAAATATTATGATTAAATTTAATGATGAACTTTGAAGAAATACCATGGGAAAATTCACTTTACTTTGGAAATTCAGAGACACATTTGTGAGCATTTTCAATAACAGAACCGCTGATTTTCAGAACCTGAGGACTTAACCCTAAGCAAAAAGATGATTGATGCTATTTATTTTTGTTACTATACATAGATATTTTCTGAATAAAGGAGGCACAAAATTGTATCTATGTATCCTCTATCAAATATCCAACAAAGTTACAATTCTTTCTTATCATGTATTGACAATAGGGAGTTGTGAATCTTTCAATCTTAAAAAATTTCCCTCGGCATTTCCAATGGAAAGTGACTTTTTCCCCAATATCTATATGATACTTATTGCGCAACGTAAGCTAAATCAAAAATTTTCTACGGATATAATTATTGTAAGAAATCGGCGACAGGAGGAAAGACTATCTAAAGATATACTGTCTGGTAGTATACTGATATTGTATTTTGAGCCTTTTCTCCTTGTTATTTCTTAAACAACAAAATGCTTTCTTTGGTTTTTAGTACGGGAATTAATGTCGCAGCTGTTGCAGAAAAATACATAACCCGCGTAAGCATACATGTCATTTCTCCAAGAAAAACACAGAGCCTCAAGGAATATGGAGTAAGGACGCAGAGGAAAGGAAATAAATACAGAAATATCTTTCGTTAGAATAATTTCAAGCGCTATTTCTTTTGGATGAATTGGCGTTGTTCAAAACATTTCAAAATTGTATGAAACACCCATTGATGCCTTTTCTTTTCTCGATAAATTATCATTACAAAAATTTACAATTTATTCTTTACCATATAATCGGAAACCTCGAGTTTACATATTGAACACCTCGGTTTTCATTTAGGAAATCTTCATATTGTCGGATCATTTTCAAAGCGTTGAGGTAGTATCCCATAAAGAAAAATGCTGTTGCTGTCAAATGCCTTTTTTTGTTTTTCTGTACCGGAATCATGTACATCTACTGGTGTCATTCATTGCTTTATGGGGTAGTTTCAGAGATTTTGAAAATCTCCTCAACTTTTGGAGCTTTTGGACCTCACCTTCTGCCACTTACAATGATTTTTCTAGTCATGTCTGTTTCCATACAAATATTTTGGAATATTGTAATTTTGATGTATTATACCACTTATTGTGTTTGCAATTGGTTATAGTTACCAAACTTCTAATATACATGTTTGTAAGTTTAGACTTGTACATTTTGCTAATGCATGTAATTTTTACTTGGTCTCAACCGGTGTTTGCTTGTCAAATTTTGGTTTTTGTATATACTAGCTTGAAATCTATCAAGCCTTAATAAACAACAATTTCAACACATACATGTGTTAAGTTTTAGTTTTCTAGGTTACTGTTCATTTAATTTTTGCTGGAAAGAGGAAGCATAAAAGAGATTATATCCAGTAATCTTTGTGCATTTTCGAACTAACATTCCAGTGGACAATTTACCTAATAATTGGTCGTCGCATCGTGTTTCTACTGTATTTGTTTTCGGTAGCAGCAGTAGTAACCTAATAATTACCACCGCAGCCAGTAGCGCCAATATATGATAAATACATCATATTACTTAAAACTCTTTGTATTTCATTATCTCCTTTTGAGATAGAGAGTCCTTATGTTAATACGTCTTTATATGTGAGTTTAATTGCAATTGTTTAACTAGAGCCTGAAAAAATCACTATTCCAATGGTCCGTAAATGATATATGCTATTTCTAAATAAAGATCGATACGATTCAAAATTTGACATCACTTAGTATTTTTCTAAACTACACCTATAAATCAATCATCGACTTACGTCAATTTGAGATGTGTTTCTGAACAGTTTTGTTACATTTTGTTTGACAGTAGAAACAGTCTAAATTAAATATTTTTAAATGTCTTAAAATATCGACTACTTTTTATTTGCTCTCATTTCATTTCTTTGTTTAAAGATGATAAGATAGTTCCTTTTAAATTTACAAATTACATTTAGGTCAGAATTTAGAAAAAGTGAACAATTAAGCCTCCGCGTGGAGAAAATACAAGTATTTCTGACTTGGAAAATCAATACTGTAACAGTTGATTCTTGAAACAAATGATAAGAATATGATGAAATTTATATATTTATTTTTTTAAAAAAAACATCAATAATTTATTTATGAGAATTTTTAGAAATATCAAAATAGAAATGAATATCAATAAGCAAAGTTGTCCTTATTGTCATGTACGGCATTTCTTCATATGCATTATACATCATGTTATCAGAAGCTCAATGCTATTTATCAACAATTAAGTGTTGCGTTTTGTTCTGATACATGTACTAAAATCTATAAATTGAAAGAATAAACTTTTCTGATGAAATTTATTATTACTCATAATAACAACATTCTGACAATCATTTTTTGGATTCAAATTTAGTAGTTCTCTTCATTGAGGACTTACTGCGGGTTGTTGATAACAAGTCCAGATCAATTCTATTTCACTTCGTTGGCAAGTCTGTGTTTTCCTTATGAGCTTACTAGAATGAATGAGACAAATTAAAAAAATAAAAAAGCGAATACTCAGTACTGGCATAAAATATGTAACGACTTTGCATGAAATACTTTGAATTGGACAAGTAAATTATCCATTATGTAACATATATATACTTCATCATAGGGTTGAATTAAGCACTGAACAAATTACTCATGATTTTTCTTTACATTTACTTACAGAAAATCGTGTACATCGCCTTAGCCATCTGGAACAATAATACCCAAGAGGACAGTCTTTATCCTACATTAAAGATGTAACTGACACATTAATACTGAATTACTTATACAAAATGAATCTCAAATGTTCATACCACCATCTTACATGACGACAATAGATATCTGGGGTAGGACTTATGGTTGGTCTTGGTGTTGTGGTTAGTTCTGGTATATCTAAAAAAAAAAAAAAAAACACTTAAAGTAAGTTTACTTTTTTTTTTCTTTTAAAAGTTTACTTTTAAATTTTTTCATCCTTTTCCTTTATCATCTATGATATCAAAATATACAAAGTGTAAAAGAAACTTTTTTGGCCTTTTCTAAAAAAAAAAAAGAAAAAAAAAACAAAGAAAAAAAAAGAAAAGAAAACCCATTTTTTTAGTCTAGTCTACATTCCTCTTAATTGCTAGTATTTTTCCCTCTTTAGTATTGAAATGTATGAGTATACCGATAAGTTGGTCGTTACTAAAATGAATTCTAAATCTAGCTTCGTATCCACATAGAACAAAGACTGTGATGCAGCTATCTGTGCTTTTTAGAGATCAAGATCATAGTTTTGTGTCGCGTTAAAAAGGAATTTTATCATAGGAGCTAGTAGTGGTGGAAAAGGGGGAGGGGGGGGGGGGCTGAAAGCTTTTAACAAACATATTTGTCCTCGAAAAAATAGTTTTTTAATAATTTTTATTTTTCCTCATACCGGTTTTTATTTTCAATAAATTATTCAATGTAGATTTAATGATAGGAATGGAGTAAGTTGAATCTGAATGCTTTTGATAAATGCATTTTTTTACAGTAATCGTACCTTATATAATACAGTTTTTGAGAACAGTGCAATAGGTGCTTTAATATCCAAATAATTCCCTACAATATTGCCTTAAAATGTACTCCTACAAGTATGATCCTCAGTTAATGTCCCTACACTCCTGATATATCTCGGACTCTTACATCCATAGGTCATTGTCTAACGAGCTGGTTCCGCCTGAGATTTAGTCGGAAAGTATAATGTGTGAAATAAACTGTAAACAAGTAATTCTCGGGTATCTATGTATTTGCATGAGGTGTAACAGTCACAAGAAATCACAAAATCTACTTTAATCAGTATGCATCAGTGATCATTATTCAAAATCTTCATTATTTCAAATATTCACCAAAAGTACTTTCGACTTGACGTCACATTAATTTTGCGGATTGCCATTCAAAAAACGAAAATTTCAATTATTTCGTTGCGGAAAACTAGTTTTGTTTCGTAAGTTTTTCTGCATTCCATTTCCGAATTTAAAATAGACGACTTGTTTTGATTTCTGTTTTGATCTTAAATATAAAGAATTGATCGCTAATACAGGAGATAACATTGGTTTATGCGTAAATTTTATTGCAAATGATGAATATTTTATTGTTGTGTGCCATTTGTAATGTCAAAATCTGAATTTTTATTAAACAATTTTTTTTTCACGTGGGTTTCAGCGGCGAGAATTTTTACAGTTGATGCTAGAGGTTACGAGGCGCCAAGTCAAAAGCATGTCGCCGTGAACCTCTAGCATGCTGGAGTACCTTAGAGTGCATCCCTAATAAAACTAAAACATTAGTTTAATACTCACTAGAGCAAATTCCATTTCTGCAGACATATCCAGCTGAACAGCGTGGATCGAACCAACAAGTTGCTAATAAATAAAAATAGCAACTTTGTGAAATAAGAATATTTTCAGCTCTGCTCCGAAAATATAAGAACATAACAGTGCATGTATATACCTCCAGGTCTTCTTACACATTGATCATTTTCGCATTTGTTGTTACTATCATATAAACAGTCCTAATAAAATAAAAGTGACGAACTATTAATCGGTGTTGAGGATATCTTTCATTGTAGATACGTTTATCCCTTGTTAATATATTTAACAATCTACTCATTTGAGTTTGAAATTGTTCGTATACTTGATTTTAAGCTCATTTTAAGCTTTTATCATTGTTAATGATGGTAGGTTACCACACACGTTTAGGAGTTATGTAGTTATTTTTAGTATACATAGGGGAATCAAGTAACTAAAGTAATAATATGCAGATATCTGTATTTAAATATACACTAAAATCCACAAACATGCTAGTATACCAATCTCGATTTAAATGTTGTTTAAAGATATCTTACCCACATGTTGCAGCCCCCTACAATCAAAAAAGAAATACTACAAAAATGCTTTAGAAATAATGAACAATTCTATATAGATGACACTTTAATCATGCTCTTAGGACATGGCCAACACATCAAACGCAGGATATTATGACCATGTATCAAATTACTCGATAAGCACCCAAGTCTCATCTTCATTGCTCCAGATAAGGTGTTGTCAATTGTCAAAGTAATAACTGGAAATGGTTAATAAATGATGGACTTGTTCATGTGTATAAGTAAAGACAATAATGTGAAGAAATTACCATGCCTTTGAGCATCACCTACAGGCAAATTATGTATAATAGTAAATCAAATATGAAAGTTCTAAGAGAAGACAACAAAGAGCTAGGTTCACTTTATGCATAAAATGGCCCTGTCCTTATATCAATTAATTGACTATCACCCTCTGTCCCATTTCATATATCAAAATAAAGTAGAGACTTAGTGTTTTCATTTCCCATAACAAAATTTCTTTTTGAGAATCCAGGTATTGGAAACAGGCTTTGAGAAAATGCAATGTTCTTGAATTTTACAGAAAACATGCGTATTTGACTACCTTTAGCAAAGAATAAAAAATATGAGCACAGACCACGATCCAAAAATTAAAACATATATTGTGATCTTCAGAAACAGATCTTTCATTATGTAATTGCATATTTTGGATCAGAGGGTGTGCTCTATATGAAATATTGAAAAATACCTTTTTTGGCCATTTTAAGGGAATTTACAGGATATGGGGAAATGACGCATTTTATGACGTCATAATTGACTAGAGAGAAAATAACGTCATGTTCAAAAAATACACGGTCACCAAGGGTCCAAGTTATAAATACTGCATTTTCAACTGCATCAGATGCAGAAGTTCGGAAGACTTCAGTTTGACTTCCCCATCTAAGTCATGTGAATAAGCCAATACCAACATTTATTTTGAAACCCTATGTTGAAGACCTTTTTCTAACAATCACAGCCATTTTCAATAAATGAATATCAAAATCAATTTCCCGTTATCACTGAAAAACGCTCTAGTTCGTCATATTTTGAAAAGAAACAGAAGAGACGATGAAATGTTTACGGACTATTGTCCAATTTCAAAGTTTCCATTTAATTCTAAAATTCATGAAATTCTGGAATAATCTGCAGCCTTTGGTGTGAATGCGCACAGTATTTTCATCAATCTTTAGAATTACCTTTCGGCATAACCGGTGCGGCCTTGTGGATACAGTGATACCCCAGTTATCGATATCAACGCATCATAATAGGTTTATCTGAGTTTGCTGAATCAATTTGGGATAATTCCCTTTAAACAACATGGATTTCCAGTGCTATGCAGATGATGCTCAATTGGATATGGTATTATAAGATTTAACATTAACAACAACTGGATAAACAACACCTAATCCTACATCTGATGTTTTTGGAGGTACGTTGTTTACTCTGCTCCCGATTTGTATTGTTTTAATGGACTTTGAGCTTGAGTACTGTTCGTTTTCTCTAAATTTCATATAAAATCTCGCATGGAATTTGCCTAACTGATATCAGTTTTTTGACTGCAATCTAACTTGCTTAAGTTAAATTAAGAAAAAAAACACATCTTAGTCTTCGAACCAAAACACATAATTAACTACTTTAATAAATTCAGCATCAACTTTGACGGAAAGGTACTAGTAATTACCGGTAATGTGTGAAAAACCTAGGTTTTTTTATTCTCTGCTAAGTATGGATAACTAGATTCGTAGCATCGCCAAATGTTTCGATCAACTGCAAAATATTGGCTGCATTCGTCCTTCAACATTGGAAAATGTTTTTAAGACCCTGATATTCTCACTTGTGACATCTTGTCTGGATTATTGCAAAGTCCTACCGTACGATATAAGTAATAGTTCCTTGACAAGAGTCTAAATGGTTCAAAACATCGCAACAAAAATCATCACATGTACAAGGAAATATGACCACATAACGCCCGTGCTAGTAACCTTACATTGCCCCCCCCCCCCCCCAGTCAGTGAATCAAGTGCAAGCTGCTTCTACAAATTTTTTAAAGCTAATGAAACGTCGCCATTGTATTTACAAGAAAATTCAAGTTTACATACCAAGCATAGATCCCTTAGTTCAGAGAACTCTATTTTCCTTGTTCAGCCGCTGGAGGGGTTTAACGTATCCAGTGTTGCACTGTATAACAGTCACCCTTCACACTTGAGGTTTGAAAGGAATTTTACTCATTTTAAAAAGTAATTGAAACTCACCTTCTTAATATTGTATGCCTAGATTATTCTCAATTTTTAAGTTGCTCATTATATGTTTATCCTAATTATGTTTAACTACACAGCTTTTTACATGCAAGCATTATTTCAAAATTTTATGAATATTTTGAAGGCTTTTGACATGTTAATTTTTTAATTTTCAATTACAAGTAATTGTTTCGAAGCACTAGCATTGGCTTGTATTATATTTTTATATATCTATGTTTCAGCTTTTTATGTTCATTCCCTTAGGGAAATCCTATATTTATTTAAGTGCTTTATGAATTTTGTAAAATGATAATAAAAATATCAAGAGCAAAGCTTGTTGCTGGAGCAACAGGCAGGTCTTCCGTCTAATTTGGCGAATAAAATGAATGAAAATGAGGTAAATTTTTATGTAAAAATAGAACTTTTCTGATGATATTTCTTATTAAAATGATGTCAGACGTTTGCAGGGGCCTAAATTATTCAATTCCATGCATATATTGCAAAAATAAGCTACCTCTGATTACTTTCGATTTGACTTAAAGGGACATCGATAAAAAAAACTGATGTCAGACGTCACCAGTGACTTTAATTATTCAATTCCGTTCCGATCCCTGCAAAAGTAAGCCATTTCTGATTACTTCCGGTTTCACCAGAAGTGACGTCGATTGACAAAAATTGAGGGCGAACATCTCCAGTCACTTAAGTCATCCACATACGTGTCAATATCTGCAAAAATATGCCATCACTGACTACTTCCACCTTAAAGAAATTGACGTAATTTTACGATATTGGATGAACTCACTAGCTGCCACTTGTTTTCTTGAGCAATTCTGAGAAAAAGAAATTCTCAATAGTTTTTGAAATGTCGAGAAAAAAAACTTCATTCAGTCTTACTAGTGTTGGCAGAAATATGCTACCATAAAGCAAAAGCTTTTCCCTTTCTTTGTCCTTTTAAAAGCAAGAAACCTTGAACTGAATCACCCTATGAAAATTTGATAAGCGAGATAGCTTGAGCATTTTTTTTCCAGTTTATGTAATAAGTATTAAAAGAATCAATCAAAATCACAATTTTGATTCGTCGTAATAATATCAAATTGACGATAAGATACTTACAAGGACTTGGCTCACATATTCCATCCACACAATAATGACTTAATGGACAGTTTCGCATCGATATCTAGGATATCATTTAGAAAAATATCCTTATTTCAAAATTAAGGAAATGTACGAGATAATTAGTCTCTGTATACACTGTATATTATGTTATTGCAAGCTTTCGCATGTATAACTGAAATTTTAAGAAATATAATGCATGTTAAAAATTACAATTTAATATTTAAGCTAAAGATTCTACTTTACAAAATACACTTACTGGAGGACAGTACGAAGGGAAGTCTCTCGAAATCTGTGCACTAACACTGGAGAACAGAAGTAACAGGATACTCAGATAAATTAACATCTCCACTCAAATAAAGGCGCTGTAATTGAAAAATATTGAAACAATGCACGAACGCAAAGAAATAATTTTTTTAAAGAATAACTTTATCTAATTATATATGCCAAAGGCAACCTGCTAATGTTATTCTGATTTTAATTCAAGACACGTGGTCTTGGTTGATACATACAAAGGTTAAAGGGTAAAACCGATTTTATAGATAAAACTGGCAGTAAGCAGGTAACTGCTGTAGTCAGCTTCTTTTAAATACCACGAAAAATGGGTTTTCAGACTTTTATAATTTTAAAAAGAAAAATGTGGTCAAAAATGACATGATATTTAATCTTTGTTTTGTGATAATTTACGACGAGGACTGCATGAAGCTCAGTAGCGACTATTTTTCCAAAGTCGCCAAATAGGTTGGTAGAAAAAAATGTGTAATATCTAGTACAATGAAAAACCTTTGTTTACCTTATATGGATAATGTTAATGCTGATGTTGCATACAGTGGATCTTACCACGAACAATTGTTCAGTCAATGAATGAATAGCGAAGGTTACCACACGTTTCGTTTTACTTCGACTACGTGGTTCAGGTCATTATACGATGCGATATACATAGAATACAATTTTTTTTTTAAAAAATTTTATCCCCCCCCCCCCCCGCCCCCGGGATAAGAAACTAAGAGAGATGCCCCGGTCATGCTCTCAATAAGAAATGGAGTGGTTTTTCATATTATAACTTGGTGTAATTGTATTTGTGATTTGTATTTTGTTGTTACTTTCTTGACTTGATGTTCAAAGTTATACAGTGTGCATAATGAAAAGTAGT